CAACTGGTAAGGAAAGAGGATCAAAAGCTCCTTTATCCTCCCACTAAAGCTCTCCTGGCTCAGGGCAGCCTTCTGCTCTCACTTAGCCATGTGTGAATATGGTGACCCCACAGGAATCGCAGTTTCCCCTCTAGCAGGGTAATTTGCAGAGATTGCCCCTTTGATCGTACGGTTATATCCACTAGAAAAGTGTGTGGATGCTGCTTTCAGCTGCAGAGGCATTTTCGTGTTTGGCACTACGAGCTTCTGCCTGTGCTTTGAAGCAACAGAAATCTGCACCACCTCTGAATGTGCAAGCACAGACACTGCAGAACCAGGACTGAGGCACCTCTGAACAAAAAACATCTTACAAAACCATGAAAGTGAAATGAAAACAGAAGATTTCAAAACACCATCAACATTTGGGGTCTAATCATTGCCTAGCTTTTGAGAACCCTAATGCCTACAATCAGAAGGCTAAATATTGACACTAAAAACATCCAACCTAAGGGTCTCAGCTCTCCTACAGAAGCTCAAACACCAAGGTGCTAGGGATAGCACCATGACAACTTTCTGGAGACACAACCTGTTACATTTGAAAATACGTCCACAGGAAAACTACTAATGCGTCCTTCTCATTGACGTTCTCTCATTCATCTTTCACTTGGGATCTCACTCTTCCCGTCTAATCCATAGTAATACGAGAAGACAAAAAAAAGTCAAAATAGTGTATAATTTAGACTTCAAGATGTGTAATTGTACCGAGCTGAGCATCATCAATGCCAGAAATCCAGAGCTCAAGGTTTGCAATTAAACGTGCTAAGACTTGGGAGTGTTCAGGGAAAGTTCCCAAGTAACCGGGTGCTTTTCTGAAGCAGTGGCAGGCGTTGCCCATGCCGAGATGAACGTGGCCTTTTTTTCTGATCCTGGCTGGCTTTACAGAACAATTCTGCCTTTTTCTCTTCACAATGCCACCACTCTTCTGCTCTGTTTGCTTGAGTGGGAGTTTTCTGGGTTTTGGTTAATATATTATTTTAATAATCGTGCAAAAACACAAAACAGGAAATTCAAAGAGCCTGTCTTGTGATAGTTCTAATAATTGAGAGATAACCCAGGTTAACCCTCCTGCTGGCTTTACTGAGCCTCTGTGGAGGAGTACCTGGAACTGGGCAGAAAGGCCAGAGCAGGGGCATGGCGGGGAAACGGACCCTGCAATTGTGACCAACCTGGTAATCCATCCCCAACATGCCACAGCCCCAAGCAGCAACACCGAGCCAGGAGCCTCCTGGAGGCAACACGGTCTTTCCCTTGAAACTGAAGAAAAGCGGTGTCTGCGTAAGGCAGAACAGGAACAACAAACAGCTTCAGCGGGTCTCGCTACCTCAAGGGTAAGGATTTGTGGATCCCCTTCTCCATAACGGTGGCCGTGCACTGGCATCTCTCAAGAGAACACTGTTGCCCTTTGCAGGGTAACCGGGGGGAGAGGGTGTCTCCACCTGCAGCTTTCTGGGCCTGGGAAGAAGCACCACGAGCCCGCATTGCTCCGCATCAGGAGCGGCTTCTGGGGCTGCTGTAGCTTCCGCGGGTCCTTACACTCTGGCTGGCAAAGGATGTTTTTGTGCTGAGCACGGAGCAGCCTCTCGGTGCCAAGGACTGCTGCACCTAATCGCAACGTTAATGATAAACGCTGAAAATTAGAGCAATGAGCACCACATTAAGATAAGCTCCAAGCAAGCTTGGGGAGCAAACGTCAAAGCCTGGGCAGCCCTAGAGGGGCCAGGGAGAAGCCAGGCAGCAAGTAGAGGTGGCAGGGAAGACCTGCTGAAGAACGCCTCAAACCCCTGCCTTTGATTTTCGGATACAACTGGTCGTTCATTGTGGTCTGTTCATCTTTGCCTCGGGACACCCGATCTCCCTTGCCAGGCAGGGATCCTTTGTGCAGAGAATTCCTGCCAGGGGCACAACTGCACCTACAAAGAGCGTGGCAGGCAGGGAAGGTAAAGCGAGACCGCGCCAGCAGAACCACAAACAAGCTGCAGGGCTGCAGGCCGAGACCCCTTCTTCATGTGCAGGGGCTGCCCCACGGTCACGTATTTCCAGGACGGTGGATCTCATCCGGACTGGTGACTGCCTGGTTGCTCTGTAAGGAATTCCTCACCAGGCGCTAACAACAGCTCGAGGCTAAGAGTCCAGGTGCCTTCCTCAGCGCCCTGGTGAAAAGGTCAGGCTGGGAGGGATCCCGCTTAACCCAGCGGCATAATGTCAGCTACCCGGCAACATGCTCGGCCCT